CTAGTTTAGACCTGGTTTTAGTCCTGGTTTAGTCCTGGTTTAGACCTGGTTTAGATCTAGTTTGAAACTAGTTTAGACCTGGTCTTAGTCTTGGTTTAGTCCTGGTTTAGCTCTAGTTTAGATCTAGTTTAGACCTGGTCTTAGTCTTGGTTTAGTCCTGGTTTTAGAACTGGTTTAGATCTAGTTTAGACCTGGTTTTAGTCCTGGTTTAGACCTGGTTTTAGTCCTGGTTTAGACCTGGTTTAGATCTAGTTTAGACCTGGTTTTAGTCCTGGTTTAGTCCTGGCTTTAGTCCTGGTTTAGACCTGGTTTAGATCTAGTTTGAAACTAGTTTAGACCTGGTCTTAGTCTTGGTTTAGTCCTGGTTTAGACCTGGTTTAGACCTGGTTTAGTCTTGGTTTAGTCCTGGTTTTAGAACTGGTGTCTTAAGCCAAAATATGAAAACAGGAAAACACCTCTGTGTAATCCATTTATTTCAACAAAGTAACTGTAATCCAATTACCACTCACTGAAACAGTAACTGTAACTGAATACAGTTACTCATAATTAGTACTCTGATTACATAACTCTGGTACATGTAATCTGTTACTCCCCAACACTGACTATTTTATCATTTTTATGGTTTTGCTGTTATTAGATTTGACTGGTTTTGTTGTTTTAGGACTGTTATGATCCAAGTTTAGCTATTTATATTTTTATTGTCTTCATTTTGTTGATCTCTGTGCAGCACTTTGGAAACTGCTTTGTTTGTAAAATATGGATTTTATTGTGTAACTCTGCTTCTGTTTGTACCTTTTAATTGCTCCTGTGCGATAAATAAAACTGTAATTGTTTATTCACACGTCACATTCCTGTCATGTTTCTCCGTCTGTAAAAGCCCCGTTTGCCTCGTGCACCTGTCGTTCCCGTGGACAGGTGTAGCTCCGAAGCCCCTCCCCCCCTCCGTCGCCGTGGTGATCTAATACAACGAGTGTGTGTTTAAGCCGGCGCCATGTTTGTCTATTAGGATGTGTGTGTGCGTCACTGTTACATCCTCTTTCCATCAAAGGCGAAGCAAATGAACGCGACTGTAGTGTTGACTCTGAGTAAATGTGTTTGTCGAGCGCTCGCAGGGAAACTAACGGAGCACTAACTGACTTTTTCACCCTTTCACCCATGTAACCTCAGTACATTTATTTGAGAGACTTTGAAATTAAACTGTACTTCTCAGAGTAGTTTCAAAGCACCATACTTTTACTCTTTGTTGAGTTATATTCTTCAGTGTAACAGTACTTTCCCTTTCCACTGTGAGTGAGTCTAAATCAGACATGTCAAACTCAGGCCCAGGGGCCAAATTTGGCTCGTGATATAATTATATTTGGCCCGTGAGATCAGATCAAACATGTATTAGAGCTACAGATCGACTATAGAGACATTATTATTTAAAATGTTGTTATTATTTTATATTCTGTTTGTTCTGGATTCAGTGTTTAAGCAAAACTATTATTAAACATTTATTTGAATAAGAAAAGGTTTAACTTCACATGTCTCGAAAGAACAGAAAACATGCAGATGTTGTTGACATTTTTCAGTAAATATTTAGTTTAGTTGTGGCCGTACGGGATTGTAAAAGTCTGATCCCGTCAGATGTCAGAAGCTCGGCAGGTCGGGTCTGGTCAGGACTTGGATGGAGACACTGGGAAAATCAGGAGCCACAGGAGGCGCCAGTGACAAAAACTGTTGTTGTGTCCTTAGGCAAGACACTTCACCCACGTTGCCTTGTATGAAAGTGGTGTGTGTGAGTGTTGGTGGTGGGCAGCTGTGGCTACAACAGTAGTTTTACCATCACCAGGTGTAGAGTGAATGAATAATGCTGAATAATAATGTTCTGTAAAGTGTCTTTGTGACAAAAATGTCTGTGAAAACCGTTATATAAATAAAGACTTATTTACTTATTTAGTTTGGCCCACGACCTAGTCCCAGTTTTTTATTTTGTCCCTCTGTAAATTTGAGTTTGACACTCCTGGTTTAAAGTGACACAATCTTTATGTGACAATAAGAAATTATTTGAATGTTTGTGTTTCTTGAAGCTCCTTCAGGTCTGATTCAGTTTGTCTCAGAATTACAGCACAGATCAGTGGACGTGAGGATTTCATTTTGTACTACATCCCCAGATCTGTTTGTACATTCTCCATGTATTATTTAAAATATCAAGTATCACAACATAAGTGTCCTCTGCTGCCCCCTGCTGACCTTTGACCTTTGACAGGTACAGTTGGGTTTCAGCCATCTGCTTCTCTCCATTTTCACCTGGAATGTTCCATAGTGTGAGATTAACTATGAAGTTACTACTATTAAGTAACCACGTGTTTGCCAGGGCTGTGGAATTAATTTAAATAGTTAGATTAATTTTTTTAATTCATTTTTTGTCTTTTTTTTTTTTTTGCATCATTGAGATTTTGATAAATTACTAAATTGTGAAATTGAGGATTATTTTGAAACCCGATTACCCCTGAGTTTCTTATTTGCAAAGAAGGACGCAATTAAACAAGCAACAAAAATATTTAATATTTTTAATTTAAAATGAGATTACATATTGCAACAAATGTAACTGACAGTAGTTTACTGTTTTATAAATAACAGGATATGAAGAATGTGATATGAAAATGTAAAGAGCTTCGACTGTCTGATTGACTTGAAGTACCTGCTCTGACTTTGATTAAAATCATTTAAAATTGTAACTGTTCAGTGTTTGTAAAATAAATATCACCCAGATGTAATGTTCACTGTACCAGAGCCTCAACCTGCAGATGGAGGACACAAGTTTCTCATTCTCAGTTTATGTTCAGGCCTCATGTTGAAGCTTAGAACCTCCAGAATTCCCTCCCTGAGCTGCAGAAGCTGCACTAGCACCGACTCACGATTGAAGGCGCTGGGTTTAGGTAGATTCATTCAGATCAGAGAGAAGCATTTTAGCTTTAAACCAACTGGATTTCAGCATTGAACAACAGAAATATTCCATCCATCCGCTTTCTTCTGCTTATCCGGGGTCACGGGGGCAGCAGTCTAAGCAGAGACTCCCAGACTTCCCTCACCCCGGACGCTTCCTCCAGCTCACAAGGCCAGTTCGGAGACATAGTTCCTTCAACGTGCCCTGGGTCAGTCTCCTTTCAACAGAAATCAGCCCCGTGTGATTTTTTTTCCTTTATTTTTTCTCATAAGCACCACATTTGTTTTGATACGGATAAATCCTGAATGTCTCTGATTGACTAATCCGTCTGAACTCCGGGAGATTCACTGGTGACCAAACTCACGTCTTTGTAAAGTTCTGGAGACGTGTGTTTTCTGGCAGTGAAAGTTTAATAATAAAAGAATGTTGTTTTTCTGCACTGCGAGTTGACAAATCCGGGCTTTGAGCTGCAGGTTCATATCCGGAGCCGGAGCTCAGAGCATCTGTGAGGGCTTGTTCTGATCAGAGCCACATCCAGGAGATACTCACGTCCAAACTAAACACACTGAACGCTCCACTGCTCCAGGACACTGTCTGAAACATCTGCACGTCTCAATACAGAAGCGATACAAGCGATACAGAGCCGTGTGCTGGAGTCCAGTGGTGCTGACTCATGTAAGAAGTGATAGGATCCAGGGCCTGACTGATATAGATTTTGTTGTTGCCGATATGATATAGATAAAATTGGAGTTGGAGCTGCCAATATATTTAGTGATGTAAAAATTCACTGTAAATCTTGATTTGTTTAAAAAACTTAGACTTGGCTCTAGTGGATTTTAAATTGGGTTTATTTAGGCGACATTTATTGTTATTCTGCCTCTTTGTGTCATATTTACAGACAGTAAGTCGGACTAATGGCATTTTTGCATCACATTCTAGTAAAGAAAGTAAACTACAGCTATTACTCCTTTAGCTGTAAATGCTGCACGCCGCTGTAATTAATTATATGTGTAAATGTCAATCATTCACACCTTTATTAACAGCTCATTTACATATCAGTGCTGGTCCAGTAACAAATATACGGCCAATAGAAGAGAAAACAGACTGTTTATGTGTGAGAGCTACAGGAGCTAATCGTTAACCACTAAGAAAGAACCAAAACTAGCTTCAAAACAGACATATTTCTAACACTCAGAGCTCACACAGGCTCCTCTCACATCACAAGTCTGTACTAATAAATGTCCTTTTAATCCAGACTCAAACCGATTGTCCATTAGAGGTGTGCAGATGGGCTACTTTTTCATCCGCAACCGCATCGCAAAACTCATCATCCGCCCGCTGTCCATTTGCAACCACAGTTTTTGACCAGTTTTCAAAACCGCACCCGCCCGCCATCCGCTCGGTCTCCTCCCAGCTGCTCCGAGTTCAGAGTTTTTTTATTTGAGTAGTGAAACCGCCACCCGCCCGAATTTAATTAAAATATTATTTTTTGTCATGTCATCCGCCCGACTCACCAGATGGCGGCTGTAACCATCAAATCATCTCTATTGTCCATAAAAAGAATATAATCTCAGTGTTTGGATCTGTGTCTGCAGGTGTAAACAAACACACGTGAGTGACGCGACTCTGTGGTGTGTTCAGGGACAGTACGGACACACACACAGACAAATGACTCTGCAGGTAAATACTGATGAGGAGCCACATATTAGGACATTTATCTGTCTGTAAATTGGATTAAATGATCAAAATGTAAAGAGTCTAAGATTTATAACGAGGTATAACATGCCCACGTGAAATATCGGCCCATATCGGTAAGATTTAGGCTGATCGACCCAGGAACCTCGTCTCACTATTTCTATGCCTATTTTATATTTTATTAAAGGTGCACTGAGCAACTTCATGCTTGTCTCCATGGAGATGTGATTGCTTTGCCTGGAGTGTCCCATGGTATGGCATTAAACATAGTACAAAAAAGGAAAGAGATGCGCACTGCAGTTCTTTGTAGCTCCCAAAATTTACCTAATAATATGTGTTTTTTTAACCTCTTGTACTCCTTTTTTCTGTCCCGTAGGATACCTGTCGAAAGTCCTGCGTAACTACACGGAAAAGGCGTGTGACGGCAGCCTGCTGTCCCTCACCTGTCCCCCCCGCACCACCATCACCGTCCAGTCCGCCTTCTACGGCCGCAGGGGCCCCTCTGACCCTCACCACTGCCCCCCCTCCTACCAGGCGCTGCTGGGGTACTACAACCAGCAGGAGGATGAGCGCCTCTGCTCCATGTCCACCGCTCTGCAGGTAAACGCCCCGAGCGAGGACGGCCCACACGCACAGAACGAGTGCGGAGTAGAAATTCTGAAAGGTCCCGTGTTACACCATCTTCTGATCTGTGGTATAATGTCGTTTCCTCGTCACAAACAGAACTGGAGTTGTGTTTGTTTCATTCACACATGTTTAACACCTCGTTAACATCATCCTGGTTTAGACCTGGTTTAGACCTGGTTTAGACCTGGTTTAGTCCTGGTTTAGACCTGGTTTAGACCTGGTTTAGACCTGGTTTAGACATGGTTTAGTCCTGGTTTAGTTCTATTTTCATCCTGTTTTAGATCTGGTTTAGACCTGGTTTAGACCTGGTTTAGACCTGGTTTAGTCCTGTTTTAGACCTGGTTTAGACCTGGTTTGGTTTAGTCCTGGTTTAGTCTTATTTTCATCCTGGTTTAGACCTGGTTTAGTCCTGTTTTAGATTTGGTTTAGACCTGGTTTAGACCTGGTTTAGACTGATTTTCATCTTGTTTTAGACCTGGTTTAGACCTGGTTCAGTCCTATTTTAGTCCTGTTTTAGACCTGTTTCAGTCCTGTTTCAGTCCTGTTTTAGTCCTGTTTTAGTCCTGTTTTAGTCCTGGGTTAGTCCTGTTTCAGTCCTGTTTCAGTCCTGTTTTAGTCCTGGTTTAGTCCTGTTTTAGTCCTGTTTTCGTCCTGGTTCAGTCTGTATGCGGCATCTCGATCAGTGTTTCTTCTGCTCAATAAATAAAACCTGAAAAGTGATGATTAGATTTGTTATTATGTGCAGTTTTCCAATTTGTCCAATCGTTTGTATTTTGTAGAGATCTAAACTACAGGGTTAACAGCTTTTAAACAGAATAAGACCTCATGGAGACACAGGGAGGGCATCTGACACACGGAGGATGTCTGAGAGAGAGAGAGAAGTCGTCCCTAAAACCCTAAACGCAGCAGGGCCCGTGTAAAAATGTTTGGACCGCTCTGATGATGATGATTATGTAACGCTTTGTCGCTCAATTTTCCACCAAATTACACTTTATAAAGAGAGAACAATCTTCTACGATCTGCTCCAAACTCTTTCTCTTTTCACTGCCTCAAATCCCTCTCAGACCGGAGCAGATTTACCTGAGGAACTGTGTGGAAGATTGAGATTTTAAAGCAGGGGTGTCAAACTCATTTTGGTCCGGGGGCCGTATCCAACCGACTTTGATCAGAAAACTCATGTCGTATAAACCCCAAAAATAACAACAAGTTCAAATATTTGTGCAGAGAAATGCAAATCTATTACAGAAATCTTTTTAATTGAATTTGAATGTATTTGTTTGGAGGATAAGCCCCTTGAGATGTGTCACCATCTCGTTTTCAAGGGGCTCCTCATAGATAAATACAACAACAAAAGACAGATACAGACGGGCAGACAGTAGGAGAACAACCTGAAACTTTAAGAAAAATTCAATTTCAACACAATGTTTTAACATGAACTTATATACAAACAGGAATAAGTCAATTTTTCTTGTTAAATCCTGCACTCGGCTCCACTTTTCTCATGTTGGACATTTTTCTGATGAGGGTGTCACGGTCAACAGTCAAAACGATCGTCCTTTAAAGGTTGTAAGGAGGATTTTTTTTTGTTTCAAGTTGTCAGTGATAGATTATAGATGCAGTAGCCTTGTAATTATGATGACCAAAAAAAAGAGAATAAAAATTCATCAACTCTGGACGTGGTGGGGCTAAACATTTGCCAATAGATAACGACACTGCCTCGTTATCTGTGAGCTGACAGGCTGTCAATCAAACTCCCTACGTTTCTAGCGTAACTGACTTGCCTGCGCCGCCGGTACGTGGTTTACGTACGACTGTCACACAGTCCACAGACGCAAGACGCACAGACGCTGTTTACTCCACCAACGCAACAGTTCTTAGCGGCTTTTTTTTGACCTATATCTTCCTCGCAGTTCGCACAAAGTTTGTTGCAATGGCGACAAGAATCCAGGAGCAGTTCGCCGCAAAAGAAAGTCCGTTTTTGAGGTCGCTGAAAGAAGAAGACAAGGGGAAAAGCAGCGAAGCCAAACTAAGGTGATTCTTGAAGATTCATTCCAGCGATGGCGCGACTGAAGCAGACGCAGGGTCTAAAGACTGACGCACTGGTCCACAAATTACTCCTGGACAGGAAACTTCTGCTTATTATGAAAACGTACTTTATTTCCAAGAGCAAGACAAACGTTTTTCAGGACACGAAAGCGATATCCTATGTCTGAAAACGTCATTTTCAAGGCAAAGAAAGAGTCCGCTTGCTGCTGCGTGTTGTAGCTAGTTCATTCGCACTGAATCTCCGCGCAACCTTCTCTGCACCCCTTTCCTGCTCCTGTCCCCGCTGCCCGATCCACTCTCACTTCTCTCTCTCGTCCCGCTCTCCTCCACGCTCCTCACTTCTCCGTCTTGCCTAACCAACACTGTAGTTAGTTGTTTACAAGTCATGTGCAGCACCGGCTGTAAACAAACCTGTTTTTCTGGCGTAAGGAGGAGGAGGGAGGAGGTGGCGGGAGGAGGCGTTAGGGGAGGGGAGGTGGTTTCACACATGCGCAACATTTGAAAAAGGACAAACAGTCGCTGGATTTCTCGTTCCTTGGAAAATCCTCTATACAACCTTTAAGAGCGTTTGGAAAGAGACAAGTCTTCATTTGTGCTGCTCTGGTGGGAGGGGCCACGTACAGAGACGCTGGAGACGCTGCTGTGATAAACACCACAGAAAATTAACAATATTTTAATAGAAAATATAATTAAAATATTTTAGTAGAAAATCACCCAAGGGCCACATTAAAAGTCTTGGAGGGCCGGATCTGGCCCCCGGGCCTTATGTTTGACACCTGTGTTTTAAAGAATGAGAAACACTTGGATGTGTGTCTGTCTGCAGGTTCAGACTCTGAGGACACGGGGCCAGTAGAACTTTTTTTAAAACTGTAAGAGAGCAAACGACAAACAGAAAATCCTTGTGATAACCATGGATGTGTGCTTGTCTCTTCTCTCTCTCTACCTCTCTCTTTCTCTTTGCTTCTCTCTGCTTCTTTCTCTGCTTCTCTCTCTTTCTTCTCTCTCTCTCTTCTTCTCTCTGCTTCTTTCTCTCTCCTCGTCTGTTTCTCTCTACTTCTCTCTCTCTGTCTCTCTATGCTTCTTTCTCTCAACTTCTCTTTCTCTCTCTCGCGCTTCTTCTCTCTTTCGCTCTTTCTCTGTGCTTCTCTCTCTGCTTCTCTCTCTCTTCTTCTTGCTTTCTCCTGCTTCTCTCTCTCTTCCTGCTTCTCCCTGTCTCTCTCTTCTCTCTTTCACTCTCTCTCTATGCTTCTCTCTCTCTGCTTCTCTCTCCTTGTCTCTGCTTCTCTCTTTGTTTGCTTTTCTCTGTCTCTACCTCTCTCTTTCTCTTTGCTTCTCTCTGCTTCCCTCTCTGCTTCTTTCGCTCCTTCTCTCTCTCTTCTGTCTCTCTCTGCTTCTTTCTCTGCTTCTCTCTCTTTCTTCTCTCTCTCTCTTCTTCTCTCTGCCTCTCTCTGCTTCTTTCTCTCTCCTCGTCTGTTTCTCCCTGCTTCTCTCGTTCTCTCTACTTCTCTCTCTCTGTCTCTCTATGCATCTTTCTCTCATCTCTCTCTTCTTCTTCTCTCTTTCGCTCTTTCTCTGTGCTTCTCTCTCTGCTTCTGTCTCTCTCTTCTTCTCTCTTTCTCCTGCTTCTCTCTCTCTTTCTGTTTCTCTCTGCTTCTTTCTCTCTCCTTCTCTCTTTGTCTCTCTCACTGCTTCTCTCTCTCTGTCTCTCTATGCTTCTTTCTCTCAACTTCTCTTTCTCTCTCTCGCGCTTCTTCTCGCTTTCGCTCTTTCTCTGTGCTTCTCTCTCTGCTTCTCTCTCTCTTCTTCTTGCTTTCTCCTGCTTCTCTCTCTCTTCCTGCTTCTCCCTGTCTCTCTCTCTTCTCTCTTTCACTCTCTCTCTCTATGCTTCTCTCTCTCTGCCTCTCTCTGTTTCTCTCTCTCTGCTTCTCTCTCCTTCGTCTCTGCTTCTCTCTTTGTTTGGTTTTCTCTCTCTCTACCTCTCTCTTTCTCTTTGCTTCTCTCTGCTTCCCTCTCTGCTTCTTTCTCTGCTTCTCTCTCTTTCTTCTCTCTCTCTCTGCCTCTCTCTGCTTCTTTCTCTCTCCTTGTCTCTTTCTATCTGCTTCTCTCGTTCTCTCTGCTTCTCTCTCTCTGTCTCTCTGTGCATCTTTCTCTCACCTCTCTCTCTCTCTTCTTCTCTCTTTCGCTCTTTCTGTGCTTCTCTCTCTGCTTCTCTCTCTCTTCTTGCTTTCTCCTGCTTCTCTGTCTCTTCCTCCTTCTCCCTGTCTCTCTCTCTTCTCTCTTTCACTCTCTCTCTATGCTTCTCTCTCTCTGCCTCTCTCTGTTTCTCTCTCTCTCTCTCTGCTTCTCTCTCTCTGTTTCTTTCTCTCTCCTTCTCTCCCTCTCTGCTTCTCTCTCCCTCTCGCTGATTCTCTCTTTCTCTGTCTGCTTCTCTCTCTGCTACTTCCTCTCTCTCCTTCTCTCTCTCCCTTCCCCTCTCTCCCCTCTCTCTGTCCATGTCTCTCTCTCTCTCTCTGCTTCTCTCCTCCCATTCCTCTCTCCTTCTCTCTCTCCCTTCCCCTCTCTCCCCCTCTCTCTGTCCATGTCTCTCTCTCTCTCTCTGCTTCTCTCTCTCTCTGTCTTTCTCTCTGCAGAAGATGCTGGACGAGTGTCAGGACAGGCGCAGCTGTCAGGTGCTGGTGCACAGTCGTGTGTTTGGGACAGACCAGTGTCCCGGCAGGAGCAAGTACCTCATGGTGTGGTACAAGTGCAGACCCAGTAAGTCCCTGTCCACTCACCTGTCCACCCACCTATCCACTCACCTGTCCACTCACCTGACCAATCACCTGTCCACTCACCTGTCCACTCACCTGTCCACTCACCTGACTCACTCACCTGTCCACTCACCTGTCCACTCACCTGTCCACTCACCTGCCACCACTCACCTGACTGTCACATGCCACTCACCTGTCCACTCACCTGTCCACTCACCTGACCAATCACCTGTCCACTCACCTGTCCACTCACCTGTCCACTCACCTGACCAATCACCTGTCCACTCACCTGTCCACTCACCTGCCCACTCACCTGTCCACTCACCTGACCACTCACCTGTCCACTCACCTGTCCACTCACCTGACCACCTGTCCACTCACCTCCCAATCACCTGTCCACTCACCTGTCCACTCACCTGACCAATCACCTGCCCACTCACCTGTCCACTCACCTGTCCACTCACCTGACCACTCACCTGCACCACTCACCTGTCCACTCACCTGACCACTCACCTGTCCACTCACCTGACCACTCACCTGCCCACTCACCTGTCCACTCACCTGCCTGACCACTCACTCACCTCTCCACTCACCTGACCACCTGACCACTCACCTGACCACTCACCTGACCACTCACCTGTCCACTCACCTGTTGACTCACTTGTCCACTCACCTGACCAGTCACCTGTCCACTCACCTGTCTGCTCACCTGTCTGCTCACATGACCACTCACCTGACCAATCACATGACCACTCACTTGTCCACTCACCTGTCCACTCACCTGACCACTCACCTGTCCACTCACCTGTCCACTCACCTGACCAATCACCTGTTGACTCACTTGTCCACTCACCTGTCCACTCACCTGACCAATCACATGACCACTCACTTGTCCACTCACCTGTCCACTCACCTGTCCACTCACCTGACCACTCACTTGTCCACTCACTTGACCACTCACCTGTCCACTCCCCTCCCCACTCACCTGACCACTCACCTGTCCAATCACCTGTTGACTCACTTGTCCACTCACCTGTCCACTCACCTGACCACTCACCTGACCACTCACCTGTCCACTCACCTGTCCACTCACCTGACCACTCACCTGTCCACTCACCTGTTGACTCACTTGTCCACTCACCTGTCCACTCACCTGACCACTCACCTGTCCACTCACCTGTCCACTCACCTGTCACTCACCTGTTGACTCCACTGTCCACTCCTGTTGACTCACCTGACCACTCACCTGTCCACTCACCTGTCCACTCACCTGACCACTCACCTGTCCACTCACCTGTCCACTCACCTGTCTGCTCACATGACCACTCACCTGTCCACTCACTGTCCACTGTCCACTCACCTGTCCACTCACCTGCCCACTCACCTGTCCACTCACCTGTCCACTCACCTGTCCACTAACTTATCCACTCACCTGCCCACTCACCTGTCGCTACAGTGTTTTGGATTGTTTGTACAGTTTTTTTTGTGTGTTTTGTTTATGTGTTTGTTTATATTGTTTTTTTGGATTTAACAAAAGTTTGGATTTAATAAAAGTTTGATTTTTTTCATGGTATAATGCTTAAAAAAGTTAATTTTGCGTTTAACCTCGCCCGTGCTGTGAGTTTAACACTAAAGTCATCTCATATTTTAGCATGAATGAACGGTCATCGTCAGTTAGAAAATGATCAATAACAGCAAAACAAATAAACAAACAAATGAAAATGTTGATCTAATGTCTCTGTCTGACGTTTGTGTGCGTGTCCAGACGAGTACAAGTCCAAGGTGGTGTGTGAGGAGGAGAGGATGAGGCTGAGCTGTAAGAGGGGCATGCAGATCGCCATCTACTCCGCCATGTTCGGACGCACGCAGCAGGGGGCGCTGGAGTGTCCCACCTACCACCGGAGGGCGCCGTCAGTGGGTGAGTGCAGGGCTCCAGACCGGGATTATGTCGGCTGTGAGATGTGAGTGTGGTGAGTAAATAAATGCAACGTGAAGAGGAGCAGTAGACAAGGCATGAAAAAAACAAAACAAAACGTAAGTCAGACAGTTACAGAGCGGGTCCCACATGTCTGAGAAAGATACATATGTATATACAAGGCGTATCAAAAAATTGGACATCATTTCACAGGCCAATAATTTTGTAGCCTGATTTCAGTGTTGAGCATGAACGAGTGTATGAGTGTATGTTTATGAACGTGTTCAATGAACACGTTCATAAATATATTTCAGTGAACTTCAACGTGAATTTGTTCAAATTATATGAGATGAACGACGTACGTCACTGTTGGGGTTCAATTAAACGTTGGGATTTGTTTTCACCTGATGAGTCGACTGACAAGGTCTGCTCGCACTTTTTAGGCCCTGGCTCCACTGCACACGTCAGCGTTTACGTGTGTGACCTCGTGAAACCACAGCTGCGCGTCAACGCAAAGGCGGCTCCACTGGCAGCTGCAGCAGGACAAACACGCGCAGCAACGACTCTGTGTCTGTCAACGGGAAAGACGATCAAACTTGACTGGGCGCGTTTAGCCACTTGTATCAGGTCTACAGTGAAACTAACAGCTGAACACACTTGTATTTACCTTCTGTACAGATTGACCACGGCAAATGCAAGGATTTCAAAAATTTATTTCAAAACACTAATTAACAGTCTTTCTGGACCTGGGCTCTTTCACACGATACAGAACTGCCCAGGGAGCATGTTGCACAGATGCTAAACGCACAAATACAACCAAAGATCCATGCTCTCTGTGTATTTTGACAGGGATACGCGCCTACGCTCACGTAGAGAGTCAAAAAATAGGATGGATCCCATTTTCTGAAATCTACGCGCACAGGACGAGCTGCTCCATATGCGCGTCTAGAGCGTGGAGGGGAGCTGCCCTCATTCACTTTCAATGCATTCTACAAACTCGTCCAAAAGTTGCAGTGACATCTGTCTGTCACAGAAAGAACACATATAGTTGTGTCCTTTAGTCCGACAGAAGCTGATGCATCAGCACACAAGGAAAAAGCAGCTTTTTCCAGCGTTTACAGTTTATGCAAATTAGCCATGCAGTTTTAAGTTTTGTTTCTGTAAGATGTAAACAAAGCTGCATTAAACACATTATGTCACATGGGCTGATGTGGCTCTGTAGTGGTTATGGTTTATATGTTGTGAAGTTGTTCTAAACTGGAAGTCAGTTTGAAAAATAAGTGCAACCTTTCATTTACATATCTCACCTAAAAATAAAATGAACTGAACTTTGAACTAGTTCATGAAAAGTGTGAATTTGCACAACACTCCCTGATTCATCAGCCCATTTCACTTTGTGGAAACCATCTGACCTTTCAGTGTTAGAATTCGTTCGCTTGACGGTAGGCTGGTACTTTTTTTATTTAACCAATCGCTGCTGTTTGGTCGTGACGTCTGTAATTCGCCAAATCCTGTAGGAAGAAGGGCAATAACGTCTTTCCCCTTGATAAAATTCACAAGACATTCTTTTTGTTCCGGCTTTAAATCCTTGATCTAAGGAATCGTTGCCAACACAGAATGTCTGTCTTCGTCTACATCCATCTCAACGCTTTGTTTACTGTTGTGCTGTTCCACAAAAGGGACCCAGACAGACGCTCGAGTTTGACGTCATGGCTTCACTGCTCTTCACTGATTGGCCGTCTTGTGTATTCCGATTCCTGACCTAGTCGCTGGAGAGAAATGAAACTGAGCGGCGGCGCTAGGTGGTCCCAGCCTGGCTACCGTTACACCCCTAGTTAAGGCTATTTGGAAAAATCTAAAACAGCCTGAGTTATTTTGTGTCCGTCATAGTTTTGATGCCTTCAGTGAGAATCTACAGTCTAAATAATCCTGGAAATAAGGAACGTTAAATGAAAATGTGTCCGAACTTGTGACGTCTTTATCCTTTTTGCTAAACGTCTCTCCGTAGCTTTGACGTTTCGGCTCTGTGACTCTGTTGACGTACTGCGTGTCCTGTTATGGTAGATTAGCCCCGTTCACTTCCTGACTGCCGACATTTAACCTTTGACCCCGCCCATAATTCATTTCAGCGAGTGCGAGGGCCAGTGTCGGTTTTCAAAGGGCCCTGGGGGAGAGTTGTTTTGGGGTGAGGAGAAGGAGCCTGGGAGAACATCTCAAGTGGAACCAGTGTCTCCTATAACTCAGTCTATGCAGCTACGTCTGCTCTGTCCTAGTTTTGTCACGATACTAACATTTCAAACTCGATTTCGATACTAAAAATAGATTTGATACTCAATACCACTTATGATGCTACAATAATAATAAAACCACTCTTTCTTTAGACAACAGAATGTGATTTTCAACATTTAATAGGGATGGGGCAAGATCTCACGAGACAAAATTGCCTCAAGAAAATTTATCTCGTGAGATTCTTTCCCCATGAATTTATCTTTGACTTGGACAAAAAAGTTGGTGAGTTGTACATTTTGAGAAGCTGTAGTTCCAAAAAACATAAAATAAATAAAAATAGTGAAGCCAAAATTGTGAAATGGATTGCAGTATTTATTACAAATTATGTTCAAATCTCGTCTTTTCTTGTTCTCGTGGACCCAATCTCGTGGTGTGTCTCGTCTCGTGAAAACTGTGTCTCGTCCAACCCCTGGTATAGGAATTAAACATTGAGTGTAGGTTCTGTTTTTGTATCTTGAAAACACTAACGAATATTACTCTATGTCAGGGGTGTCCAAACTTTTTTCATCAAGGGCCACATATCTAAACACAGACGAAGCAGAGGGTCGATCGAGGGCCGTAGACTGATGCTCAAAACAGTGAATAATTGAAATATGTGCATGTTTAACTCGTTATAATGAGCCATCGGTCTTTATTCATGCTAAGATTTTTAAAACCACACACTAAATATTATTGGTTTTATCAAGGTAGATTTTAAAAAAAAAAAACTTGCAGTAAAAAATTATATTTTAATTAATGCAAGATAATTTGAGCCAATTCACCTGGAAGTCTGAGGGCCAAGAAAAATATGTCTGAGGGCCACATTTGAAGTATGTGAAGTACTCAATATTGGCGCGTACAGATAAAGGAGCAAAGAAATACTCAAGGAAAAGGGAAAGTATCACATGAAACAATTTACTCTTCTATTAAAGTACCAGTTTAAACATGTAGTTAAAAAGTAAAAGTATTTTGTGCAGATTTTTAGGTATTTTAAGTCTTCACATGTAGTGATTTTGATGCAGATTTGTCCTGAATTTTGTTCAACATGTTTTTTTTTTTGTTCTTTTTTTTATTTGTTTGTTTGTTTGTTTTTTATTTAATTTAAATTTATTTATTTATGTATTTATTTGGGGGGGGGTCAGCTGTTTTTATTTACTCAAATTATGAATGTGTTAAAATTAAACAAACCCTCATCCTTTTCAGCAGCTCCCAAACAGTGATAAAAAAAATACTTTTACTTCTCAGTCCCATTCAAAACTAGACAGGCTGGCACCACCTAGTGCCTCCGCTCAATGTCATTTCTCTCCAGCGACTAGGTCAGGAATCAGAATACACTAGAAGGTTTGCAAGAACCCTGGAACTTGTAGATGGCGCACCGACCAATCAGAGAAGAGCTATGAAGCCATGACGTCAAACTCGTCGCGTCTGTTTGTGTCCCTTTTGTGGAACAGCACAACAGTAAACAAAGCGTCGAGACGGATGTAGACGAAGACAGACATTCTGTGTTGGCGACGATTCCCGAGATCGAGGATTTAAAGTCGGAACAAAGAGAATGTTTGGTGTCGTTTATCAAGAGGAAAGACGTTATTGTCCTTCTTCCTACGGGATTTGGCACATTACATACATCATGACCAAATAGCAGCGATGGGTTAAATTAAAAAAAGTACCCAGTGAGCAGTCGAAACAGTCAGGTATGAAAACAAACTCTTGGTCTGAAAAAAGAACCTAATAACATAAAAAAAAGTACCCGCCTACCGTCGAGCGAACGAATCCTAATGCTGCGAGGTCAGACGGTTTCCACGAAGTAAAACCGGCTGATGAATCAGGCAAGTTAAAAAATGTAGTGGAGTAGAACGTACAGGTACTTTCTCTCAAATGTAGTGAAGTACCAGTAAAAAGTAACCACTTAAAAATGTACTTAAGTGAAGAAAAGATGTCTCAAATTTGTACTCTCTCATGGTGCGGTGGGTAGAGCCTGTCAGGACGCCGGAGCACACACTGTACCCGATCCTCCGAGCTTCCTGTTCACGTGGATCGGGTGTCCCTCTGACAATGGGCCCCTGAGGCTCTCTCTGTGGGGCCCCTGTCGCCGCGGCTCTGTGCAGGTGTAGTACAGCGCTCTGACTCATGCGGCGGCTGAAGTGCGCTGTGTATTGTGTAAATATGATCAGGGTTAATTGGGCGTCCGTTTGTCGTCGCCGTGTCAAAGCGCCGTGATGGATCGGACCGTTTCGCCGAAATCACGTCGATCAAGAAATATCACTTCAAAGGGAACGTATTTGACGCTGTTTTCTGATCTGTTCTGATGTCGTTTCCTCACCGCAAACGCACCTGGAGCTGTCTTTTGTTTCATTCGCACATTTAACGCGCAAACCCTGAAGAGTTAGAACCGCAAATCTCTACTAAACTGAAAAGATTAAATGTAGTTTTTAAATCATGGTCAGAATTCTCAGGTGGAGTTTGCCACGTGTAAGTGTCAGATTACAGATTTGTTGACCTGGTTTATGGTTCATATCTCAGTAATTACCAGGCCTATCCACATAAAACAATATCTGGCACGTGTTCAAAGTCTTTTCAGTCAGTATAAAAAAGTTAAATCAGTTTTTCATCGTATTCATTGCCATTATTCAACCCAGTATCAATATTTGGTCAAAGCTCCTTGTCAAATCCTGATCTGGTCTGGTCTGGTCAGTACTTGGATGGGAGACACTTGGGATACTAAGTGTGTCCTTGGGCAAGACACTTCTCCCACATTGCCTAGTGCAGGGATCACCAAGCTTTTTTCTCTGGGGGCCACATTATCGCTCCTGACTGTGATGGGGCCGTATAACAGAATTGTTTGACCCTGACGACTCAGATTATATTCTTTGAAAACCTCCACACTTTCTTTACATATCAGACAAACCGCACGCTCCTCACACTGAACAAAAAAATAATCGGATGTCCACTGTTCTTTGAAAACTCAGCACTCTCTGTCAAGTTTTCATACTTTAACGCGAGTCATTTTGCTGTCTTTAACTGCACTACAGAACTCTGCACGCCTCACTGTCACTGTTTGATCTCGAGCTTGTCAGGTGAATAAATCATATAATTATTTAAATATAAATATATTTACTTAAAATCAACAAAATAGATGCAGACATGTTATTATTTGCCAAAAAGTAATTCAAAAAATAATAATAAAGGCCATGACACTTTTGAGGATTGTCTCAAGTGGTGCAGAGGGGCTGGGGGGCCAGTCAAAGGGGCGTGGAGGGCCGGAGTCGGCCCGCGGGCCTTAGTTTGATGACCCCTGGCCTAGTGTGAATGTGGCAAGGCAAGTTTATTTGTACAGCACAGTTTATTTGTAGAGCACAATTCGTGTAATTCAAAGTGCTTTACAGAATAAGAAATACATTAAAATCACAATAAAAACATAAATAATCATCATAAAATTAAAAAAGAAAAAGAGACATTAAATGAGAGAGAAGAGAGCAGAATGAAAAATTAAAACCTTTCAGTCTGTCTTACATGTTCAGACTTTTCCAGGTTTTAGCTGCGTGAATCTGAAACTCTGACTCCTCGTGACTCTGGGCACCAGCAGGAGGCCGGGACTAAACCAGGACTAAACCAGGACTAAACCAGGACTAAACCAGGACCACAGCAGGAGGTCGGTCCCTGAGCTCCTCAGAGTGCAGACGGTTCATGTGGCACTAACATGTCACAGGTGGATTTGGTGCTCGTCCATGGAGAGACTTTTACACGCAGATCCGCTTTAAAGTCTCTGAGCCACAGGGACAAGTCCAGAGTCAGGACCTGAGCTGCAGTGTTCTGGATGTTCACGTCATGTTCACATACAAGTCACATTTAAATGGAAATGTGAACAACCTTGCAAAAAAAAAAAATCAGATTTCACAAAAAAATCCGAATCGAGCATTTAACTCTGCAGTCTGAACGTAGCCTGTGTTACTTTCACTTCAGTCATTTCTTAGACCACTGCTTCGTACTTCTGCTTGAGTAATATTGTTCTGAAGTAACATTAGTCTTATTTGAGAACAGTTTTTGACTCTTCTACCACCTCTGCACAAAACAATCCTCGTGTAACTCCCCTCGTCTGTGTGTCTTTCCGCAGATTGTCAGTCGGCCGTGGCTCTGCAGGTGCTCACGTCCCGTTGCCAGGGGAAACAGAGATGCTTAGTCCCCGCCTCCACGCACGACTTCGGGGAGCCGTGTTACCCCGGGACCAGGAAGTACCTCAGCGTCATCTACACCTGCGGTAAGTACTCGATTTTTAAAATACTAGTACGTGCGGCGAGGCTCTGTTTACATGTGTTTCCGAAAATATCCACCAGAGGGCGCTGTTTCACTATTTATGTGTACATGGTAACTATAGTATCTGACACAAACTGCACAGGGATTCATGCAAAAAGTACAAAAAATTGGAAATTGCATAGACAGTAAAGACAGTTTAATCAGATTTTCACAGAGAAATACCACAAAATATAAAACCTTGCTGCTTTTGTCCAATATAAATCCTTATCATTTAATTAAAATGATTTGTCGACTTGGAACATTTCATCATTTCATTGGCTCAGTTCTCTTCTGAACAAAAGTAAAAAGTGGCCGTTAACTTGAAAACAACCGCTTCATGACAACACAAGACAGAACGGAGCATTTTGAGATGTAGTCGTTTTTTTATTCGATCATTTTGCCACAAAACAAAACAAAACATAGACTACAACCCCGTGGATCATGACCGAAAGGGTTTAAGCTGAAGTAAAAAGTACTTAAAATGCCAAACCCTTTTCAACGATGACAGAATTCCAAGAAAGAAAAGAAGCATATGAACAGAAAGTTTGTGTTTACAGTTTCACTTACGACTCACTGTACATATAAGAGACAAAATATAAATAAAAACAAACAGAATTTAATGTATAATTCATTTATACCAGAGCTCTGTGTCTTTCAAAACATTTACTCTTTTTTTTTAAGGCTTCTACAGTGTGAGACTTTTAAAAAATCATCACTCAGATTGTTCCATAAACAAACCCCTCGAACAGAAACACAATCATTTGCCAGTTTTGTTTTCGTTTATGGTCTTAGAAACTGATAATAATGACAAATAAGGCAATATTTATCATTTATGATCGTATCAAACTAAAAGGCAATATCATTTTGAGGTTTGGAGATGGAGACAGACTAAAAACATAAAAATAAAGGGTCAAAGCGTGTATGAAACAAAACACAACTCTATATCGAAGTGTAATCTGGGCCCTTTTAAACGTTCCACCCCTCTGTGCACCTCCAGCTCTGGTTGAGTGAGACTCGGTGACGCTGGTTGTGGTGGTATTTGTGGTGCTGGTGTAGACATGAGCTGACTGATGCCCTAGTATCGCCGGGGGTGTTGTGTGTGTGTGTGTGTGTGTGTGTGTGTGTCTCCTCTTTCAGTGAGCTCTGTGTGGTCGCTGTGACTCCGCTCTGGCCAGGGTCAGTTTCCTCTCTGTGGTAACATGTGTTTACTCCATCCTAATGTTGTGATCTCAAAGTTGTTTTCTGGAGAGCAGCCTACTATGCACTTAAAACAGATCGATCTAAAACACAGGTGTCAAACGTAAGGCCCGGGGGCAGGATCCGGCCCTCCAAGACCTTTAATCTGGCCCTCAGCTGACTTTCTACTAAAATATTTTAATTATATTTTCTATTAAAATCTTGTTAATTTTCTGTGGTGTTTATCACAGCAGCGTCTCCAGCGTCTCTGTACGTGGCCCCTCCCACCAGAGCAGCACAAATGAAGACTTGTCTCTTTCCAAACGCTCTTAAAGGACGATCGTTTTGACTGTTGACCGTGACACCCTCATCAGAAAAATGTCCAACATGAGTAAAGTGGAGCCGAGTGCAGGATTTTACAAGAAAAAATTGACTTATTCCTATTTACATCCAAGTTCATGTTAAAACATTGTGTTGAAATTGCATTTTTCTTAAAGTTTCGGGTTGTTCATAATATTCTAATATTTTGTAAAAGAAAGAGTTCATCAATTAAAAAAGATTTCTGTAATAGATTTGTGTTTCTCTGCACAAATATTTGAACTTATTGTTATTTTTGGGGTTTATATGACATGAGTTTTCTGATCCGGCCCCTTTGGGATCAAAGTCGGTTGGATGTGGCCCCCGGACCAAAATGAGTTTGACACCCCTGATCTAAAAGTTAAACAGACAATATAATGCTATTTTCTGATCTATTATATTTCCTTATCACAAACAGACCTGGAGTCGTGTTTTGTTTCATTGTCACAGTTTTGCCCATTGTCCAACACACAACACACAAAAAACTCATAAATGCCAATGTGCAGATTCAGTACCGTATTTTCTGCACCAGAGGACGCGCTCATAAGCCTCCAACTAGGATTGTCCCGATCTGATCACGTGATCGGAAATCAGCTACGATCCAGGTTTAATCCAGGTTTAGTCGTGGTCTAGTCCAGGATTAGAGACTTGCACATCCAATAAAAATTGCGACTGTGAGCTGGGTCCAAAGACAAAAAATGTGCAAAAGAAGAAACAGATCTGGACTGTCATTTTTATTTTAATGACACCACAATGTGACGTTTCGGGGTAAAGCCCTTGTTTAGACATGACATTAGTCCAGGATTAGTTCAGAATTTAGTCCTATTTTAGATCCAGTTTTGATACAGTCTCCGTGCAAGTTTGATCGCACCGTAAAACTAATTTGTCTGTTTTAAACCAGTAAGAGAACATGTTATAGTTATTACAATATTTGCACAACACCGGATCATATAATTTCTCGGGCCCCCTAGTGAGCGGTGGGCCCCGTGCTTTTGTTTACAGTCACCTAAATGTTAAAGCGGCCCTGGTTAAATAGTGTTTTTTTATGGGAGAGCTGTTACACGGATGACATTGTTAGCACACACTTAAATCCTCCAGTCGACTTACTTATCCGACTGCATTTTTATAAGGTCATTTAGCTGAGCGGCAATTAACCAAGCATGTAGTGTTCATCTATTATTATGTAAACAAGACACAAATCCCACAAACTTTATACAGGGTTTCCACACTCATGGTCTTTCACACAACTCCAGCGTTCTGCTAAATTCTCATCAGACTATTATGATTATTTCTGTTTAAAAGAGACGACAATAAATGCACTGACAGGATTTTGAACAATAAAAAACTATAATCCCAAACCATAAGGTGAGTGGAAAGAGTTAAAATGTCATATTTAGCCCTAAAAGTCTGATCAACTCTACACACTTAGGTGCTGTAAAGTCATGGAAAATTCACTTTAGGTCATGAAAAAGTCATGGAAAAGTTTTGAAATTTTGTCAGTGAAAAAGACCGGGAGCCCTGATTATAAAACAATTGAGTCAAAGGAATAAAATCCATTTTCACATTTTACAAAATTGCCCACTGGAAACTATATTTGCTACTCTGAAAAGAACAGTTTTAAAGAAATAATTGTAAATTTACTTGGTCAAATAATTGTAAATATAGTTGGACAAATAATTGTAAATTTACTTTGTCAAATAATTGTAAATGTAGTTGGACAAATTGGCTTCTTGTTTATTTTTTAATTACTTTATGGTGCCACTCTATAATTTTCTCAACTTTAAAGACACAATATTACAAGTATAGGAAAATACAACTGTTTTTTAAATATATTTTATTATTTCTGATGTTTTTTTTTTTGTTTTTTTTTGTTTGTTTTTAGTTTTGTTTTTGGTTTGTTTCATTGAAAAAAACATAGAAAGGCGTGTTCTTACTGTCAGTGAGCTTGCATCTCCACAAACCTGACTCTTATTTGGCCTGGAGGAGAGCTTTCTTCTGCTTGTTTCTGCAGAAATATTGTTCCTTTAATGAAGCTTACGTTACGCTTACACTGAAACGAATCACCGTATCACCGTATTGGAAACGATTTGCATCCAGACACGTCGTTTCTGTGTCCGCAATCAAAGCCTTCCCTCCACACAGTAACGCAAAACCGCCTGAAATGCAAATCACACGACTAGGCAGGCATCACAACGTCACATTGGCGGTAAAAACGAGGAAGTGGAGCCCAGTGTCTGAAGTTGCAGCAGCCGATTTCGAGCTGAGGAAGATGGCAAGCGTGAAAGTAGTGAGTAGTTCTAGTTCCGCTGTTTCCCGTTTGTCTCTGGCTTGTTTAAACTGTTTTCCACAATAGCGTCACACAACCGATGTCACAAACCCAGCGAATCAGGAAGGAGCGAGTCACAGTGACGTGGTCCAATAAGGACGGAAACCAGAGCTCCTACGTCAGAGTATCAACGTTTTCAGGCGTCCACACGGTGCCGGATCAGATCAGATGAATTCGTGGGAGCTGACGGCACCAGATCGTTCCGTCTCTGGAGCCGTTTTCCATCGGATTAGTGTGAACGAACACTGCATCCACAACGAAAACGACTTAAAGGTTGTATAGAGGATTTTTTTAAGGGAAGAGAAATACAGCGACAGTCCTTGTGCGCGTTCAGAATTACTGTTGAAGTTTCCTGTCTAGAAGTAATTCAGCGACGCGTCAGTTTTTAGACCCTTCGTCTGCTTCGGTCGCGCCATCGCTGGACGAGATCTCCAAGAATCACCTCAGTTTGGCTTTGCTCCTTTTCCCCTTCTCTTCTTCTTTCAGCGACCTCAAAAACTGACTTTCTTTTGCGGCGAACCGGTCGTGGATTCTCGTCCGCCGTCGCGACAAACTTTGTTCGAAATGCGAGGAAGCGACAGTTTGAAAAAGCCTCTAAGAACCGCCGCGTAAACCACGTAATCCCAGCGCTCCGACGAGTCAGTTACACTAGAAACGTAAGGAGTTTGATTGACAACCGAACAGCCAATAGAAAATGAGGCAGCTTTGTTTTCTATTGGCTGATGTTTATCTGGCTTCACTACGTCCACAGTTGATAGATTTTCGTTCTTTTTTTTTTTTGGTCATCATAATTACAAAGCTGCTGCGTCTCTGTAACTGTGTTTTAATCTTTCACTGACAGTTTGAAACAAAAAAAAATCCTCCATACAACCTTTAAATACGACTAGTGTGGATGGGGCCTAATTGAAAGCTTAGTTATTATCAAGTGTTACCAAACTGACTGATTTGACCACCTCTTTACCAACCGAAAACAATCCATGAATTTAATAAATGTGAAGGTTCATAATTCTTATACGACTTCAAGTTAGGTGTATTTATTATTTCTTTTCCGGTTCTTTGATAGTCCTTCCACTTCATGCCCCCCTTCACTCCTCACACAGCCCCAG